CTCTAACTCCATCCACCCGGGCCAGCAGCGGCGCCCACCCTCGCCGCCGCCGCTGCAGCCGCCCCCCAGCCCCGTTGCGTCTGCCTCAGGCGCGGCCCAGAGAGCCCCGGGCCTCCAACTCCCGCTTAGCCCCTCGGCCACGCCCCCAACCAGTCATTGGCGCGGCGGCCAAACTGGCCCCGCCCCCTGGTACGTAGAAAAATACGTCTGCGGTATTAGTGAGCTTCCCTGTCATTCTTCCGTCCTGCGGCGTTGCTTCCACTAAGATCCCACCCCTTTCCCTTTGATCTTGGAAGCTTCTTGTTTATTGGCCACTGATTGGCCGACATGTAAAACTTAAGGCCGCACTTCGATAGGCTCAACCACCCTTGCTACTTGACCGCGGCCATGGGGCCGAACCACGTCGGGATCCGATTGGCTACAGGAAAGAGAGCGAAGAGCCCAGGGGCGATAGAGGCTGGATTTGGGCTTCGGCCTGGCTCTTGCGGAGCTGTTGGCGCTGCGGGTCGGATCGCCTTGGGGAGCGGTGCCAGGCCTCAAGGTCAAACCCCTGACTGCTGCCGTTACGACCCGCGCTCGAGCGCCCGCCCCAAATCCCGAGATGCGCGGGTCTCTAGGCCAAGATCTCTGTTCCCGCGGGATCTCGGGCTGGCGTGAGGCGGAGCCGGCCTGCGCGCGGCATCCACTGGTACGGCTGGTAGATCTGTTCGGAAACCTGTTGCGACATGTGGGCGGCGGCCCATTTGGCTCCGGTCGGGCCTGGAGTGTTGGCCCCCCAGGCCCCGCGCGAGCCGACTCCTGAGGCCCGGCGTCCCTCAGGCCCCCGCGCCCCCTTGAGTTAGCAGCCGAAGAAGCCCAGTAAACCCCGCCGTTGTCTGAATGAATGAGTCCTCCGCGTGCCCGCTGCCAGTGGGCCCTGCGCCAGGCGGCGAGCTGGAGGCGGGGAAGGGAGGTGTCGAAATAGGGCAGGATGATTTTGAAATGGCAGGTGGAGAGGCGGACTGGAGGGACCTGCTCAAACCGCGTGGAGAGTATGGCAACTGTGGGGAAGCGCGGGCACACGTCCCCGAGTGGCGCCCTGACGCGAACTCCACCGCCGGGCGGTGAGGGTCTTTAGTGGAAGGACCGCTCGCTCCCCCGCGGGTCGGCCGCGTCGGGGGCGCTCCCTGGTTCGGGAACAAGGCCGGCAACCCCCAGCCTCGGGCGCCGCGCGGCCCTCGCAGGCTCGGCGGGGTCACAGGCACTTTCCCCGCTCGGATCGCCCGGCGGCGTCCGTCTCCGCTCACTGGAGCCGGTTCGCTGCAGCCTCCGCGACGCTTCCCACTTTCTTACAACCTGTTTTACTGGGTCGGTGATGCAACTGTGAACTTTTCAATCTGATTAGAATAAGGAAGAGTTTTTTCCTTTTTCTCTCTAAAACTGAACCCTTTTCTGGGGCTCTGGGTTTTTGTTTTGTTTGTTTAAAAAAAATTTTTTTTTACTCATCTATGATCTTCCTCTTAAGCAGTGGTTATTAACTTTTGAGTCTCTACCTTTTGGGAAATAATGAAGCTACCAATCCTCTCCATCCCCCGCCCCCTCCCTCCTGTCTTGGGCGCACAAAATTTCCCATGTAATTTCTGAGTTTGCAGATTCTCTGGAAGTGATTTGTGGACCCCCAATCTCAGGTTAAGAAGCCCTCCTTCAGAGCATGTCCAGTTTTCCTCTTCTCTAGCTCATTTCCCTTGGAAATGAATAGCTCTCAAAAAGAAACCCACTCATCCTGCCAAACTACTACTCATTCAACTACAAATGACTTATACCTGCTATGTCCTTTCTCTTCTAATACCCTACATTGTGACACCTTTCTTCAATGGTCACAAATGACCTTTCCAAATCTGAAGGTCTTTTTCTTATTCCCATTTTTCTTGACAAAGAGATAACACTTGCCCTCCATTGACCCATCTCTCACTGAAGCTTTTTCCTAGCTTCAGAACCACTCGATCCTACCTTTCAGACATCTCAGTCTCCTACACTTCTGTACACACTGACGGGAAACATTCCTAAAGGTTTAAGGCTTCTTGCTCACCTTTAATACCTTAGAGAACTTTACCATCCCAAATCTGTTTTCTTCATTAGAGCCCTATGTGTATTTCTCTTATTGCATACTTTTGTTTTGCTTTGTTTTGTTGTGTGTGTGTTTTTTAATCCTTGCCTGAGGATATTTTTTCCATTGCTGTTCAGAGAGAGTGGAAGGGAAAGAGAGAGAGAAACATCGACGTGAGAGAGACATCAATTGGTTGCCTCCCTCCGGAGCCCTGACCCTGGCCAGGGATAGAGCCTGCAGCTGAGGTACATGCCCTTGGCCAGAATCAAACCCAGGACCCTTCAGTCTGCAGCCCAACGCTCTAACCACGGAGACAAACCAGCTAGGGCTCTTATTGCATACTTTTTAACTGAAATTTCCATGTGAACATTCAGTTAATATTTATTGAGTGCCAACTCTGTGCCTGACACTGTACTTGAAGCTGGTGGTATAAGATAGACTCCATGCTCTCATGGGGTTTACTTTTTATTTTAGTTTTTGCTGGCTGCTTGCCGTTTATTTTCTACTTAGAGAAAGGCACACTGTTACAGGTTGTTGGGAAGGCTATGTGTGGCTTGGATAGTAAAGAGTGGAGCTCTCTCAACTTCCTTTTTGGTGTTTGACTGAGAAGTGGAAGAAAGTGTTGGAGGAGGGAGGGGTCAAAAGAGCCTGAGGCCTCTGGAAATCTGGTGGTTGGTGGTAGCCACTCAGGATGGGGGCCCAGTGTTGGCTTTGCTGTGCTAGTACTCAGGATGGACCCAAAGAAGAGCAGTCCAGAAGGAACAGTAGATACAACAACCCTAAGGTGAGAACAAGGTTAGTGTATGAAGGAACAGAAAGAAGGCCAGTGTAGCTGGAGCATGGTGAGTAAGGGGGGAAGTGATACAAGATGAGGTTAGAAAGCTAGGCAGAAGGTGATTATCCACCCTAATTTCTGACTCAGCATGTCCATTCCAATCTCAGCCTTTCCACTCCAACCCTAGCCAATTCCTCCAAAACCTTCCTTTTCTACAAAAGTCTTCCCTATTTGCCCAGACTCTAAAGCTGAGAATCTTTTTTGACTATTTCTTCAGAATAACTATTCTGAAATGTTTCTTTTTCTCATGCTCCTCTTTTCCTTCCTGTTGATATAATTTCTCAGTATCTGATCACTTTACATCTATATTGTAATAACTCTTTGAAAGGCCTCCCTACTTCAAGGATCCTCTAGCTTTACCAGTATTTTTATTTCCCTCCTTCCAGGTACGTGGTAGGATTATTTTTCCCACCTCCTTGAAGATAGGCATGGTCATGGGATTTGCTTTGACCAGTGAAATGTAAGAGAAGCATGAGAGCCACACATTAACTTCTCCTGCCACGTGAGTGTTGATGTTCAAATGGTGGACGCTCCATCTGCCTGATGAGGATGACAATCTGAGTCCCCTGCTTGTCAGCTACTTTATCCCAGATGGACTTTTAGTATGCATGAGAAATAAATCTTTGTTGGTGTCAAGACATGGAGATTTTATTATTATTCCATCCATAGTATAGTCCAGTGCTTCTCCAACTTTAATGTGATATTAGTTACCTGAATAATTTTCTAAAATGCAGATTATAATTCTGTAGGTCTGGATGGGGACTGAGATTCTGCATTTCTGACAAGCCCCCAGATGCTGCTGATGCTGCAAGACCCTGGACCACACTCTGAATAGCAAGGACCTAACCCATCCTGACAGTCTGATACACTCCTCTCTATACATCTACACACACTCTATCCTACATCTCAAAAGCACTAAACCTTCCCAAGAAACAAATTAGCAAGCAAAGAGACAACTTTCTTGGTAATATTCTTTCTAAACCCTCAATAACTTTCCACACTTAACTCCTCAATCAGGCACTGCAGACTACTATTTTCTTATATTCCTAGGACAATTGTTTTCTACACTCTTGCTTCTAGATCCTGTCATTTTTTTTCACATATCTATGAGACTACTAGTTGTCTCAATTTCAAGTCTCATTTATTTCCTTTAGTAATCAAAACCCCCAAGTTTTAGCTTGGGCTGATAGCTTCCCCACTGAAGTCCACATTATCCCCAGCTTCCCTTGCAGCTAGCATTGGCTCTGTGACTAAGTTTTGGCTAGTGGGATGTGAGTGTAAGTGACATGAAACATCTGGGTTCTGCCTTTAAAAGGGAAGATTGTGTCCTCTTTGAATATTTTCCTCATTTTTTCCCTTGTCATCTAAAATACATACCCAGAAGATGTCAACCATTTTTGGCCATGAGGATAAGGCCTATTTCCTAGCATGCGGCAAAGCAAAAGGTAGAAGAAAGCTGCTGCCTTATGGGTAACAAGAGTACCATTGAACTACTCATGTTCTGATACATGAGAGAACTTGTTTAAGCAATTGCTGTAGTCTGAATCTTTGTTATAGCAGCTGATTTCTATCCTAACCAACACATGTTCTTCCCCAGAATGCACTTCTCCTTTTGTTCTTACAAAAGTTTCATTGTTAAAGATCCAAAACAGATCCCACTACTCCTTCCTCTTTCCCTGAATTGCCATTGTACATCACCAGCATGAGGTATGATTATAGTATATTATGATTCTAGCAGCCACGCATGAAAATAAAACTGATTTCTTTACAATCACTTAAAGAGAAATTGCTTCTTAAGTTATGAAGAATAGATCATAAGAGCTTTAGGGATTCAGAGATGGGTCAATCACTGAGGACTGAAGGGATGAGAAGATATTATATATTTAAGCAATTTCAAACTGAAGAATGTATAAGGAAGGCTTCCCAAGGGGTCTGGGGGGACAATTTCAAGGGAATCAATTTGCTGTTATTCATCTGCATCTTTCTTAAAACTCATCTTCCAGAAAATACAGTTGAGACAGTTCTTTCCTTCCTCCCATTTCTCAGTCTGTTCTCTCACCTTACAAAAGAAAAGTGTGCCTTTTCCTGTCCTTCATCTTGTTATATTTGATTACCTGGTGTGTAAAAATGTCCAGGTAACCAAGCGATCCAGGTGTTAACAGGCCCTCTTTAATCAAGATACAACTGTAGACTTCATGTCTTTCTCTGACTTACATATATTTCTCTTAGGGCAAAACATGTTTTAGGAATGGGTATTTTGGTCCTTGTGGGATATTCAGTGCATACATATATTGTACAATGAAGCATTGGGCTTTTAATTTACATGACCTATTCTAACCCCTGACTTTTATCAAAGAATACATTCTTTTTTGGGGAGATTTCCCTTAGAACAAAGCAAAATGAGCATAATTAGATACAAAGGTGGTAGTGCTTTATTTCATTCAGGTGTCATATTCATGGCAAGGTCTATGTCATCTATCTTGGGGCTAGGATATTCAGGATTTTTGGAAATACATCTTGGGAAGCAATAATGTGCCACAAAGTGCAATGCTCCTTCCCTGGTCAGAGACAAGAAAGAGCTGAGTGATACGCTTCATTTACTCATGTCTCAACTTGGGTCTAAATTTAATATTTTGTATTATTTCTGGAAGTATAGGGTAAGTTTAGTTTTCACAGATCAACATCGTTAAAATTGTTACTTTTATGTTATGTGACTTTTGCTTCAATTTAAAAAACAAAAGATTGACAAGCACCCAACAGATGAACTGAATAAGCATCTCATCCTCTCAAATGTCTATGCCTCTGCAATTCCAAGCAGCAGCTCTAAACCAGTCATACTGCAACTCCCAGGTTGCCCCACATCGACTTGAAGAAAATCTACTTTGTACCAAAATGAAAGATGGGGAAAGTGACTGCTAATGGATACAAAGTTTCTTTTTGGTTGGTGCAAATGTTTTAAAATTATATTGTGACGATAGTTGCACAACTCTGTGAATATACTAAAAACCATTGAATTGGGTGAACTTTTTGTATAAGAATTATATCCAAATAAAGCTGTTTTTAAAAAAGTAAAAGATCTAACCGAGGTACGTTGAAGACTATCTCTTTTGGAGATTCAGTTTTAGTTTCACCATCCTTTAAGCAATAAACTGTTTCCCTTTGCACATCTGTTTTTTGGGGGAGGGGTGGTTACTCTGATCATGCCATCCTTTTTTATTAAAGCCTCTCCTAAAAGATCTTATTTCTAAAAGAAAAAATGGCAAAACAAGGAAAATTACTAATTTTGATCTGAGAAACAAAACAATGTTATCTTTGGATCACAGGCAAAAATCCAGAAAAATTACTTTAGCTTCACTGGTTCTTTTCTAGTAGGAGGTTTCAGTTCATTTCATACTCAAATTAAGTTGAAACAGGTACAGTTAGAAAAAAACATTCAATATGCTATTTCCATATTCATTCCTCTTTGGGCACAAATCTCTGTCACTCATCTCCCCACCCCCACTCCTTTTACTAACTTCTATCATATCTTCATTATCTGGACAGAAACATAAATTCTGTAAATGATGCCCCCAAATAATTAGTTTTACACTGCACCTACCAGTCATATAATACCTTCTCTTCTTTTTTTTTTAATCCTTCACCCGAGGATATGTTTTATTGATTTTTTAGAGAGCACGAGAGAGAAACGATCAGTTGCCTCCTGTGTGTGCCCTGACCGGGGATCGAGCCTGCAACCTTTTGGTGCTTGGCACGATGCTCCAACCAACGGAGCCACTCGGCCAGAGCAGTACCTGCTCTTCTTTTTGCTGTTTATTTCCACTCTTAAAAGCTTCTACTTATGAAACTGGTAAGACAAAGTGTTCCCAAAATGAAACCTAGGATATAATGTCCTGAACTTTAGGAAAGTGTTTCATTTCATTATAATTAATTTCTCTTCAGATGTTGACATGTTCTTTTAATGCTGTCAAATGTATAATTTTAAACTTGCATAAATCTTGAAATGAAATTACAGACCTGTGTGTAATATTTTTACAATACCAATTTCTGCCCATCTGTAATGTCTTAAGGCACTTTAACCATGACCTAAATAATTGAAATAGGTCTTTGTTTACAATGAACAAACTTTGTCTTACCAGGTAATAAACCACTAAAATAGAGTAAGTTAAAATGATTTTTTAAAAAAAGAAAAGGAAATAGAATTAGTTAAAATGATTAAAAAAAAAAAAGGAGGCTTGCGTCTAACTAATCCTGCCTTTGCCTTGTCCTGACTGTCAGAAAAATGTCAGAATAAAGAAGGAAACAGGATAGCTGAAGGTCCCTGACTTGATCTAAGTTTCATTACCTAATCTGTCAAAGGTGATAGAAACAACATTACTTCCTTGGATTGTTTGAGGATTCAATCAGAAAAAGAATGTTAAGTTTGTACTACACTATCAGACACATGGTTAGAACTCAACAAATGTTGGTTACTATTACTATTATTACTTATTTTTCCTTTATGACTACCCATCACAGAACCAAGATGACCACGACTAGTCACTGTCAATTGCTTGCATAATCAACTTGTTGATAGACTAGAACACCAAATCTCACTATCTCACAAATAAGCTTTCTTTTCTCGTAACAATAATGTCCTTCAGCATGGCATAGTAACTTCAATTATTGTATGAACTTTGTATCATAAAGAGTAGATTTAAATATTTTAATTCTTTAAGTAAAATGGCTAGAATTACAAAACTTGTCCTTGAATATTATCAAATAATGTAATGTCTGCTATCCTTGACATACAAATAAGATAAGCTATCAGCAGGGGGATGAGGTTTGGGTTATTTATCTAAGTACTTGTGATACATTTTTAATGCTTTGAGGTATTGAATTCTTTATAAATATGAAATGTATTCTCAAAGCAACTAGCCAGGGTTATGGAGGCAGCAAACATTATCAACAACATCATTGACAAAAAATTAATTATGGCAGCAGATGTGGACCTCACATTCATGAACTTTGAAATCCTAAGTTATCCATGTGATTTCCCTGGCTGTTCTTTAGAAGAAAAAAAAAAAATCCCATTTTTTTACTCTTTTTTACTACAGGTGCATCCTTGACTCTTTTACCAAGCCTTCTGCCTTAGCCAATGCTCATATCTTTATTGCCTCTTTTTAATCAATCAAGTCTTTCCTCTTCACCCCTTAGTCTTTCTTGCCTTTACAGTTTATTCACTACGAACTAGCATATGAAAGCCCAGGCATTTACATTGACTGCACCAAAGGAGATAATCAGATACTTGGAAATGGAAAGGTGTCCTCACAGTGACAAAGGTAAATTGTTTCATCTTGGGATTTAATTCCCTCCCTCTGAGAGTTACTTATTGGGCTTCTGTTAATTGTGTGCCCAGCAGTGTGCTAAGGGGCTGAGCGGGGATAAAGAGAGTCAGAGAGTGCAAAAAAAAAAAGAAAAATTTAATGAAGAGATATATAGGGCAAGGTCCTGAATGAAGGAGCATTTGTCCTCATGGAGCTTGGGGCCTGGCCTGGTGGCACACAGAAGCATTCTGCTTCCCCAGTGTAGAAGCTCTCTGGAAAAGAATCAGTGAGCTGTCCTTTTGAGTTTTTATGTAGCCCTGATTGACTAAGTCATCGGCCACTGGTGATTCAACCTCAAGCCCCACTCCCATCCCCTGAAGTCAGTAGTAGGACAGAATGTTCCAGTCCTCTTACCACATGGTTAGCTCCTGCTGGCAACCAGTTCCCAACCTTGGGTGGGGTCCAAAAGTCACCTCCTTAACATAACAAGAGATACCACTGTTGTTCTCATGGGGAAATTCCAAGGTATTTGGGAGCTGTGAGCCAAGAACTGTGGATGAAAACCATATATATCTGAGAAATATGTTTGGGTCATCTGAATGACTATATTTCTTATAAGTCACAACATTGAAGTGGGTTTCACTGAGAAGATATTTTAATAAAGACTGAAGAAGGTAAGAGAACAAGGCCCTAGGTGGGGAGAACAGATGTATAAAAGCTCTGGAGAAGGGAACACTAATTACAAAAACTTAAAGCAAGAAAGGACCTATCATGTTCTAGAAAAAGTAAGGAGGCCTGTGCGACTGGAGTAAAGTGAGCAAAGGAATAATAGTGAAAAATGAGGTTAGGGAGGTAAGTAGTGTGTATGTTGTAGGTTGTTGAGGACGAGGGCTTTTACTCTGAGATGGGAAGCTACTAGAGTTAGGAGGAGTGACACGATCTGGTTTACACTTGAAAGGATTACATTGATTATAGTGTTCAGAAGGGTAGCAACAGAAAGACCTGGTAGGAGGCTACTGCAATAATTTACTAAGAAATGATAGTAGTTTTGATCATAGTGGTAGCAGTGAGGTTAGTGAGAAATGACTGGATTGTGGAAACATTTTTAAGGTAGTGCCAACAGGCTTTGCTCATGAACTGGATGTGGGGTTGAGAGCAAGAGTTCTGGATTAAGGATAACTCCCAAGATCTTGGGCCTGAGCATCAGGAAGAATGGAGTTTTTACCCCTTTATTAACACAATGCATTATCAAACACTTTCATCTTTTTCAGCCTGGTAGTTGAAAGATGGTATCAAATGTAGTTTTCCCCCCATACATTTTGATTGTGAAAATTGTCAAACATACAAAAAGTTGAAAGACTAGTACTCATTTCATATTGACTTAATAAAAGATATGAGCCCAAATAATTGGATGTCCAGACATAAAATGAAGTGCAGGTTTGATTTGGCTCAGTGTCTTAACCATGTCATTAAGAATCTAGGGAGTAGAGGGTAGAGAGAGAGGGAATTGCTCCCTCGTACACTCTCTAAGAAAAGGAAACAAACTTTTTATTTGCCACAGCAAATGTCTCTTTATCTGGAACTGAGCTACATACCCACTCCTAAAAAAGTAGTTGTGTCCAAGGGATGGAATTTTGCTCAATATGTTAGGCCTGGCTTACATGTCCCACTCCTAGAAGCTGGGGTGAAGTCAGAATCCTCAAATGCACAAGGGATACGCGTGGAGAAGATGCCCACACCCAAATAAAATTAGAATGTATGCCAAGAGAAGGGGATCAACATCTTTCTCCCCACGCCTGTGTCCCAAGTACTAGGAACATTTTAGCGATTGCAATACTGCACCCTGCCTCCCCTGCTGGTACCTCCAAAGCAGGGCCTTTCACATCTTTAAATGACTATTGATTTCCTGTATTTGTCAAATTTTCTTTTCTTTTCTTTTCTTTTTTCTTTTCTTTCTTTTCTTTTTTTTTTCTTTTCCTTCCTTCCTTCCTTCCTTCCTTCCTTCCTTCCTTCCTTCCTTCCTTCCTTCCTTTCTTTCTTCCTTCCTTCCTTTCTTTCTTTCTTTCTTTCTTTCTTTCTTTCTTTCTTTCTTTCTTCCTTCCTTCCTTCCTTCCTTCCTTCCTTCCTT